AAACCCCCAGGAATCCTTGCTTTCCACTCTACTTGGTTCTTGAGCCCTGCTGGTGGGCCTTTGAACAACAAGGGATGCCTTAAAGACTAATATGAGGACTTTTCTCTTTGGGGGGCATACAGTAATCCCTTGCTATTTTTCACAGTTCAACTTTTGCGGACTCACTGTCCTGCAGATTTTCAAAAAATATTGATCTAAATTATCTATTGCGGATTTTTCACTACATCACAGGATTTTTTCAGTACCGAGTAGTATATGTATGTTGTTAAAATTATGTAGGCTTATGAGTTTAGAGAATGGCTAAGACCATGATAAGTATTTTTACTTTTTAAAAAATGTTTTATTTTTTTATTTTTTTGGCGGAACCGGGGATTGAACTCAGACCCTTGCGCTCGCCAGGGAAGCGCTTATTCTACTGAGCCATCTTCCCAGTCCCATTTTTTATTAATTTTAATGAAAAAGAAATAGCAATGAGACAGTTTCAAAACAGGTTAGTAGGACAGTTACAATAATTAATACATTGCATATTGTCATCTAAGAACATTATAAGTTTTTTAAAAGTATGGGAAAGGTTTATAAGAGTGTAGGAAATGTTTATAAAGCCTTAAAATAGGAGCCAGAGAGATAGCTCGGCAGTCTAAAGTGCTTTTCAGGGTTGGAGAGATGACTCAGTAGAATAAGCGCTTGCCTGGCAAGCACAATGGCCTGAGTTCAATCCCCGGTTCCGCCAAAAAAATAAATAAATAAAATTTAAAAAAATAAAGTGCCTTTCTTAGGCAAGCTTATGCAAGCACACAGGGATCACCAGTGGATCCCCAGCACCACATGCTGTGCCAGCCCCACCCCTATGGTGGACTGAGCCAGTCACAAAGAAAAAAAAAGCCTAAAAATATGTATAAGTACTAAAATAAGTATAACGTCACTACCGCACTGAGTTTTACTTAATGCAGAGTCTGGAACAAACCTCCCCACTAAATGAGGGAGGACTGTGTAGGAGACTGAGCCCGGGGCCTTTGCACTGAGTAACATCCCAGCCCTTTTTTGTTTTAGGTTTTGAGACAGGATCTCACAAAATTGTCCCAGTTGGGCTTGAACTCATGCTTCTGCCTCAGCCTCCTTTCTCCATCTTAAGATTTTTGTTTTTCAGGGCCAGCCAGATAGCTCAGTGGATGAGAGCACCTGCTTAGGCAGATGCAGAGACCCGGGTTCAATCCTGGTGTGCCCTGCTGGCCCCACTCCTGGGATGCGCTGAGAAAGTGATTGAAACTGAGCGTGGTGGTGCGCGCCTGTAATCCCAGCACTTGGGAGGCTGAAAACAGGAGGACCAGTACAAGTCCGATCTGGGTAGTGAGACCCTGAACTAAATACATTTTTTTTAAAAAAGAAAGATTTTTTTTTTCTTTTACATCTCTGGTTCTTCATAGACTCAACTAGAATGGAAAAGCAACAGCTTCTATGTAAATAGAAACCAATCCTGTTGTTAGTTTAAGTTGAAGCGTCTGAGTTTCAGGGTTTTTTGTTTTTGTTTTTTTGTTTTTTGTGGGTTTTTTTTGGTGGAACCAGGGATTGAACTCAGGCCCTTGCGCTTGCCAGGTAAGCACTTATTTTACTGAGCCATCTCCCCAGCCCCTGTTTTTTGTTTTTAATATTCTTTTTTCTTGTTTTTCTTTGGTGCCAAGGATCAAGCTCAGGACCTTGCGCTTGCCAGGCAGGCAGGCTGCTCCACCATCTCCCTGGCCTGGTCAGTTTAGTGTGTGCGTGTGGGGCTGGGACTATGAAGCCCAGGAAACTGAGTCCCAGAGGAGGAGAGTCTCGCATGTGGAGGACGAGCTGGGCCTGCAGGCTGAGGACCGCTCCGCCCCCCAACTGCCATCAGCGTGCTTCTTCCTTCTGCCCGCAGGTCCCAGCCGTCGGTTCAAGCGCGTGGTGGAGACCATCCAGGCGCAGCTGCTGAGCACACACGACCAGCCGTCTGTGCAAGCCCTGGCAGGTGGGTGGGGCTGGGCGCGGGCGGCGTCGGGGCCCTGAGAGGGGCTTCCTGTGGACCGGCAGAGCAGCCTGCAGAGGCCTCTGGGAGGACCTCAGCCGCAGAGGGTCCAGGCCTCCGCTCTCTCGAGGTGGGGAGCCAGCCAGCCCTGTCTGCACGGATTCAAGACATTTAGCCTAAAACTGGGACAAATTGATCGCCCCCTTTGCAGGACTTAGATGTCCCCGGCACCCAAGAACTTGAGCTCCCGCTGGACCTGTTGCTAAGGCCTGTGTCCCTAGCATCCAAGGAGCAAAGCCAAGCCTGCCATGGCCACAGGTCTTGCCAAAGTGTCTTAATCCATTCTGATTGCAATAAGAAAGAACCGTGAACCAGGTGGCCGACAGAAGACAGAAGTGGCATTGCTCAGCATCGGCAGGCTGAAAGTCCAAGGTCGAGGAGGCGCGACCTCCAGCTGGTCCAGAGCGGGCAGTTTACTGCTGGTCCCTGGTGGGAACACAGGCAGGGAGCTCGCCTACTGGGAACCGAGCACAGGGCCTTCACTCTGAGGACCTCCCAAGCCCTGGTTTTAGTTTTATTTTGACAGTCTCTAAATTGCCCTGCGTCCTATCTCAGCTTCCCACAGTACTGAGATTACAAGGGTGTGTGCTGCCACAGGCAGTTAGGAGGTCTCTTTCGTCAGGGCCCCAATTCCATTCACAAGGGCCCCACCCCTGTGAGTAATCACCTCCCAAAGATCTCTTGCCTAACACCCTGACCTCGGGGCTAGAGTTTCTGTGTTTGGATTTGGGGGGACTCAGCATTCAGCCAATAGCACAGCCGGGGACTCGAGACTCTGAAGCCTCTCTGGAACAGGCCTGTAGGGTACGTGGATCCCACAGGGCCCACGTCTGCCCTGGGGCTTCTCTAGGACCACCCAGATGCTGTGTTCTCCCCGTGAAAGGGTGAAAGGGCGCAGGCAGAGGGACCCAGGAAAGGGGCTGACCTTGACCTCCGCTGGGAAAGCTCCCTGCTTTCCCCAATCCTGGAGGTTAAACCCAAGGCTGCTGCGCTGAGCTGTATTCCCTGCCCTTTTTAAAAAATGAAAATGGAGCCAGGGCATCGCTAAACTGCCCAGGCTGGGCTCCAACATGGCCATCCTCCTGCCTCAGCCTCCCCAAGTGCTGGGGTTACAAATGGGCACCTCCATACCTGGCTGGGAAAGTAGGACTAAATTGGACATACTTAGATAATCTACAGTAGTTTCCCTGTCTAAAGCCTGTAACCCTGATCACCACACATGAGGTCTTCCTTCCCACAGGGGAATGTTTTCAACAGGTCCCTGGCCCAGGGACAGAAAAAAGCAAGAGAAAGTGGGATGTGATGACTCACACCTGTAATTCCAAGACTTGGGAAGCTGAGGCAGGAGGGTCTAACTTTGAGGTCGAGGTCAGCCTAGCAAGACCCTGTCTCAAAAAAAAAAAAAAAAAAAGCAAGGTGAAGATTAAAAAGGACAGCCGGGAAGGAGCAGGGCAGACGGTCGTGAGGAAAGCCAGGGTAGCTTACGAGCTGCCTTGACTGGAGATGGCAGAAGGGCGCCACAGCATCTTCTGGGCAGGGGTCCATCCACGGTACCAGGAACGGCCCTGTGATTCACAGGCCAGCCCTCACTTCAGAGGGTCATTCAGGCCCCAAATGTCAGCAGCACCCAGGCCAGGCACTGTGTTTCCTTTTGGTTGCTAGAGGCAACCAAGGAGCAAATTAGGCCCCTTGAACCCCACTGCCTCAGCGACCAGGGATCCCGACAGGTCCAACCTTAGACTCGGAGCCAGCAGGCACTCCAGGAGCCTCAGACCCTCATCCCATACAGAGAGCCTGGCCCCTCCGCAGGACTGAGGCGGAAGCATCTCAAGTGTGAGCCCAGCCTGGGCAAGAGGGACTGTAGGGCTGGAGATGACCCCAGGATGAAGGCCCTGGATGCAGTGTCCCCGTACTGGAGGGAAAAACCCAAGATGGGGTCCTGGGAGGTGGAGAGCCTCAGGCCAGACCCCTCGAGCCCAGCACCCAGCATCTCCAGAGCAGTGGGCCTGCATCTGCAGAACTCAGGCTGTCCCTTTCAGCCCCTGGAACTGCCCCTGCTGTCACTGGCAGAAAATGGCCTCGTGGGAAGTCAGACCCACAGGAGGGCCTGTGACACCCGGCAGGGCACAGCGGGCTGCCAGCACTATACCAAGGAGTATCTTTTTTTTTTTTTTCCTGCAGTACTGGAGATTGAACTCAGGCCCCTGCACTTGCCAGGCAAGTGCTTACTCTACTGAGCTATCTCCCCACCCCCAGGAGTATCTCCACCCAGTAGTCTCTCAGTCAGTTCAGGGTCACCAGCTCCCAGGTGGCCCCAGGAGTTCTCTGCAGCTGGGCCCGGGTCTCACCAGACTATCTTGGCCTGGTCTCCAGTGCCCCAGGGTTCTGGAGATCTGATGCAGCCCCCTTACAGGACAGCCAATTGGCGGATGACCTGCCCCCTCCCGCCCCCTCTAGGGTATGAGGTGCCTCTGAGGGAGGCCTTGGCCACCCCAGGCTTCCCAAGGTCTGAGAGGCATCACAGCCCACACTCGATTCTTCCTCCTGTCCTTCACAGATGAGAAGAACGGGGTGCAGCCCCGGCCTGCCGGCACCCCACCCCGAAGCCTGCAGCCCCCTCCCAGCCGCCCAGACCCTGAGCTGAGCGGCTCTCCCCGCCGAGGACCCCCCAAGGACAAGAAGCTCCTGGCCACCAACGGGACCCCTCTGCCCTGACCCCAGGGGCCAGGGAAGGAGGGGACCCCTCCACCCCCTTCCCTGCCCCCTAACTGTGAATCTGTAAATAAGGCCCAAGGAGTACATCGGGAGGGGGGACCCAGAAACCGGCCCGCCCTGCAGGGACTGGGGTTCCAGGGCCATGCCCAAGGGGGGAGTGGGGGGACGGGGCAGGGAGCTCTTTCTATTTTATTTATTGATTAATTTATTATTTTATTTATTGATCAGTCTCTGCGGGTGGGGTGGGGGAGGGACGGGAGCTGGTTGGGGTGGCTTAGCAGATCCGGACAGGGCCCTCTGTCCCTGTGTCATCCCCAGCTTCCCTCCCTGGGCCCCTCCTCCCCGACCCCTATGACCTTCTGTACGGATTTGCTCTCCCGGAAGGAGTTCTGGTTTCGCGTGTTCCTGCCTGCGTCCATGTCTCTGATTCTGCCGGGGCGGCAACAACAAAAAATAATAATAAATAGCCTTGATCAGGGACGAAAGCAAGGCTGGTCTCTGGCTTCCTGGGTGCCCCCCCTCACTGTATCGGGAGGGACAGGCGAGCGCGGGGTGCCTGCTCCAGGGCGGCTCCAAGCGTCCAGACGCCAGCACAGGGGTGCTCTGCGGCGGCGCTGGTGCCACTCGGAGCTGCGGGCGGAGAGGCCCCTGGGGGTGCGTCCTGGGGACCCTGTGGCCGCAGGCACAGGCTGCAGCTGTCTAGGTCTGAGAAGTCCACGGCGAAGAGCCCGAAGAGCGCGAAGAGCCCCATGGCCAAGGCCCACTCACAGGCGGCGGCGGCCGAGCGCTGCGGCCAGACGTGGAGAACCACCACTGTGCGCCGGGTCAAGGAAGGGCCTGTGCTGGCTCGCTGTCGCGGACGCGCCGGCCCCACGCTCGCACCCACCTCTAACCCCACTCTGGTGGGCTCCGGCCCTGGGTCACCTGGTGACCTCTGTCCGTACAGAGGCCATCAGCACTCTAGCCCCAGTACTGCAAAAGACAGTTTCTTTTTTGTGGTGGGGGCTGCATGGTCCAAAGTGGCCTTCAACTCTGTGTACCGCAGGCTGGCCTCAAGCTCTCTGTGATCCTCCTGCCTCGGCTTCCTGAGAGCTGGGTGACAGGAGTGTGCCCCTACCGCAGGCTTCAAGGGGCTTCTTACCCAGTTAACCTCTCGCAGCCCCTGACGGCTCCAGCCACTGCCACCACTCGACTCACAGCTCCTACACCTGTCTCTCCCATTCCCCCCCCACCCCGCAATCCGTCCTTCTTTCTGGGTGTCTGCACCTCTGAGGCAATGCCACCATCCCCGTGGTGCCAAGGCAGCCCCTTGGGAGTCCCTGCCCGCTCCCTCTCTGCCCAGTGAGCACCTCTTGTCCTCATCTGGCTCCGCTTCTCTGCCCATCCCTGCCTGATCCCCAGGTTCAGTCAAAAATCCCTCTGGGCTGACATGGTGGCACACACAAGACCGAGTTCAAGGCCAGCCTGGACTACAGGGATCAGGCCTCAAACAGAACAAAACCAGAAGCTGGGCGTGGTGGAGCACGTCTGTCCCCAGCACACAGGAGGTTGAGGCAGGAGGGTTGCTGTGAGTTCAGGCCACCCTGGCATGCACAGCAAGGCCCTACCTAAACCAAACAAAAACAGAAAAGCCATGTTCTGTCCCCGCCACGCACATATCCTCTGAGCTGTGTGACCTCAGGGCAGGCCGAAGCTGTTTCAGGGCTTCGTTGGACAAGGTATTGCTTGAACCTTCCCTGGAGCATCCTCCCCCCCTCTCCTCCAGTCCAGGTCCAGCTCACCCCTCCAGGCCAGCCCTAGCCCTGGGAGTCTTGCAGCCAGGGAGAGGTCCGAGCCCCCAAGCCGGGCCAGAGCCCACCATCCCATCTCTGGAGACCTCACAGCCTCCACATAGAGCCGGCTGCCTCCGCTCCTCTTTGAGCACTTGGCACCAGTGCTGGCTTCACCTTCCACGCAAACCTGCCCCTACACCCCCGCCAAGTCCACGGCAGCACCTGCAGCAGGGCCGTCTGACTCCCGCATGGTCTCTGTGCATTGTGGCCGCACTTAGCCCAGCTGTCTGGCTTACCGCAGCCAAGCTGGCTGTCGGCACTGCTGATTTGGAAGCTTCTCAGGGGCCAGCTGGAAGGGACAGGCCAGGTCCCACAGGGCCAGCCCCGCCCCCACAGCAGGCCGTCACTGGTTATTGGGGGAAATGAGCTTGCCACCCCCATTCTGCCTGCAGCTGGGCCTCCCCGGGCCCTTGGCTTCCTTTGGCCCCGCTTCTCTCTTCACAAACGGGAGGCAGCCAAGCCTGATCTGCTAGAAGCAGCTTCTCCACTCTGCCTGCCAGAGCTCAGCCCTGGCTGGCAGCCTCTGCCAGTGGCCCTGGAGTAGATGCTGCCCGGTCACCTCTGTGAAGTCCCAGGATGGAACCTGGGGCCGCTGTACTCGCCACCACTGGGCCTCCCTGGCCCTAGGCAGGGCACCTAGCCAAGCGGCACAGACCCAGCATGGGCAGCACCCCTACACTTCTGTGAATGGAGCCTGCTCAGCACAGGCCAGCAGGCTGGTGGCTGCCCTGCCCACTGATGCCTTCCAACCTGGCTTGGCAAAAGGGGAAACCGAGGTGCCAGAATTAAAGAAGCCAGTGGAAGTGTCCCCAACTAATATGGGGAAATTTGGCCTCAACGTTAGTACTTACCAAGAGGCAGCTATGGTCCCAGGCAGAGCCCCAGAGATGGGAAGGGACACCCACAGTGGCACACAGCAAGAGCTTGGGACACTGACCCCCTGAGAGGAACCGCCCTGCCCCCACCCCCAGCAGCCCCAGAAGGATACTGGCCACAATGAGGAGACTGCACAGGCTGCACAGGCTCAGGCGCAGCGGCCGGACCCAGGGCTCCCCGGGCTGGGGCAGGCTCTTCATCCGCCAGGACAGAAAGCACTGCAGCCAGAAGTAGGTGTTGCCTGAGACGAAGGCGAGGAAGGCCCCCACCAGGTGTGTGGGTTTCTGGTTCTTTTCCTGGGAGAAGAGACGAGAGTAGTGAGGAAAACTCTAGCAAGGAAGAGGAACACAAAGTAGATGCTCAGAAAACAGGAGTGGTCCAGGTTCGATCCCTTGCGCTGTCAGGCTGTGCCGGGCAAGCTGAGACTGTGATTAAGGCTGGGTGTGGTGGGTCCACCCAATAGCCCAGCAGGCACAGGGGTCAGAGGTGCAATCAATCCCCAGCCTGCCTGCCGGTCCCGCCCCCGGGGTGCACTGAGACAGCAATTGAGACTGGGCATGGTAGCGGGCCTGTACTCCCAGCTCTTGGGAGGCTGCAAATAGGCAGATCACTACCAGAGTTAGTAGTGAGACTCTGAATACCCTGTAGATCCTTCCCTAAAATACAAGAAAGAAAGAAAGAAAGAAAGAAAGAAAGAAAGAAAGAAAGAAAGAAAACTCTTGAAGTAGAGACAGGCTGGCTGGCATGTGGTGCTGGGGGATTGAACCGCGGTCCCTGATGCTTTGCCAAGCTTGTTCTAAGTAGGTGCCTTAGACCACTGAGCCATCTCTCCAGCCCCCACACCCATCTTTAAAAGTTGTTTCTTTGGGGCTGGGGAGATAGCTCAGTAGAATAAGCGCTTGCCTGGCAAGCACAAGGTCCTGAGTTCAATCCCCAGTTCCACAAAAATAAATAAATAAATAAATAAATAAATAAATAATTCGTTCTTCTTAGGCAAGCCCACAGGGACCAACACCACAAGCCATGTCAGCCCAGCCCCGGCCCCAGGGTGGTGTTCTGTGGCCACCCCAAAGAGAAAAAAAAGAAGGAAAAAAATTGGTTCTTGAAGGATAAAAGTGGTTAGAGAATACAAGATGTGTGAATTACAGCACACAGTATATGTTAAAGCATTTAAGTATGACACATTTCTGGGAGGGGGCGATGGAGGAAACGCGCACTAGCGGCTCTGCAGGGAAGCTCTGCGGCAGGAAGGCCACATGCTAGCGTAAGGAGCGCAGGAGTAACTGCACGAGCCCTTGGAATGCTATGGCGATAAGATGGGGCAGAGTGTTGCCTAAACGCCCTGGGGGTCACCCCAACTCTTACTGCAGCAAGAAAGGCTGCATGTCAGCGATGTGACAATAAAATAAAATAGCAAAATTAATGAGCTTCCTCTTATGGTTTGGTTCTTTCGTCTATAGCCCTTTAGGCTGCACAGCTCTGAGTTCGTCTCTGAGCTGCGCAGACCAGCTGCTGGGAAACTCTGGAGTATGGTCCGCGGCCCCCTAGAGCGCGGCTGGACAGGGACAGAAGGAACGGAACGCTGCGTGAAGCCTTCTCTTTGCACACCCCCAGGGTGCCAAACACCGAGAGTGGGATATCAAGATAATTGCATCATTAAGTGACAACGGGAAAGCAGCCTGGGAAAGAAGCCTCTCAGCCTCTTTGGGCTCCACCAGGCCCACTGGACACAGGGTCTCCTGAAGGACCGTCGGTCCCAATAGAGGGCTTGTCCGCCCTACGAGGCTGCGAACCACGCGGGGACTACAAGTCCCAGAAGACAGTGCGATCTGGGTCCACAGAGCAAGCGCACTTTCCGCCGCAGGGCACGCCGGGGTTGTAGTCCACTGGTGCCCTGCCCACGCTGTCTCACCTGAAAGTTGCCCACTATGGAGGTTCCTAGAGCACAGATGAGCCCGGACCACATGGTCACCTGGTTAAGCCGCGTTCCGACGCCCCAGTCCCGGAGCTGGTAATAACGCACAATGCAGATCCAGCTGGCTGGGAAGAGAGGGACGTGAGCTGAGACTGAAGCCCACCAGGTAACCCCACCACCACCACCACCATCACCACCGTGGTCCCGGGTGGAGGATGGCTGGGGCCTGGACCCCTCGGTCTGAGGGAAGAGGCAGGGCCAGGACCCCTAGATCACGGCGGGGGTGCTGGACTGGTGCTAGCGGGCCCCGTGTGGCGGGTTTGGGGTAGCAGTACTTGGAAAAGGGCAGGAACACTTACCCATAGCAGCCCCCATATTGAGAACCTGGCTGAAGATGCAGCTCTGAGGCGGGTAGGAGCCACAGATACTGGGGAGACAGAGGAGTCCGCTGTCATCCTATGGCACCTCCAAGCCAGTGCCCACCCCATCCTCCTGTAGGCACCCACGTACCCCAACTACCTGATGTAGGGGAATCCTTGGGTGAGGTTCACAGTCCGGTTGGCCACAGCGATGGCAAAACTGAGGTGGGAAGAACACAGGAGAATGAGTAGGGGTGTTCAAGGCCAGTCTGTCTTTTTTTCTTTCTTTCTTTTTCAACTTTTTTTTTTTTTCTTTTTTTAGTACCAGGGATTGAATTCAGGACTTTGTGCTTGCCAGGAAGACACTTAAGCCACTGAGCTATATCCCCGGCCCTTGTCTTTCTTTTAACCAAACATACACTTCACTCTGTAAACAAAACAAACCTAGACTTCTGGCTCCCTCCTCCCTCAGACCCTGACATACATCCGGCCTCTGACACTTACACAATCCAGACGCCAGCGATAGCCCAGAGTGCCAGGAAGATGGGCAGAAGGGTCAGGCAGCCCTGCATGCCGTCCTGCGGGAGGCAGTGGCCGGCGGCCTCGGCCTGGAGGGAAGGAGCCGGTGCTCAGGTGTGAGGGCCCTCAGCCTCACTCTGCCTCCCCTGCTGCCCTGCTGCCAGGCAGAAGCGGTTTCTGGATTTCCGGAGTCAGAGCTGCCCTGGCTGGAGATGCTCTCCGTCTTCCCAAGCTCCCCCTAACCTCCAGTCCACCCTCCGTCCTCCGCTAGCCGTGGTCACCGCCTGCAGTCTCTTCCTTCCAAGGGTCAGCCTGGGTGTCAGCACGCTGGAAGGCTTGCTGGGTGCGGCCGGCTAGCAGGCAGTTGGCTGTCCCCGGGCGCAGAGGCAAAGTCCGGGCCGCAGGACAGGCAATGGTGCTCTGCGTGGCCTTGGGTCTGACTGGCCTCTTGCCCCGGATCTCACCCCAGCCACCACTTCCTGTCTCCTGCAAACCTAGCAGGCAGCAGCCCAACTTCAGGGAGCCCCTAACTTCCTCCCTCCAGCTTAGTGTAGGCAGCATACAATCTTAGCCCTCATCCTCGCCGGGACTCAGAAATCTGAGTCTCCAGTGCTCAGCATTATCTAGGCCCCCAGCTGTGCACCCCTGCTGGGGACTGAACCCCGGACCTTCCCACTGCGCTGAATTTCCACTCCTTTTTCATTTGTACTTGATTTTGAGACAGGGTCTTGCCCAGTTGCCCAGTCCTCCTGCCTCAGCCTGCAGAGGCTGGCCCCTCCCTCCCTGCGTGCGGGCTCCACAGGGTGCACAGTCCCTTGCGGAGTACACCATTGCTCAGCCCAAGGTGTCCACGCCCCCTTACCTGCTCAGGGACCGCGCAGGACCCCAGATCACCCCGCTTTCAGGTTGCAGTTTCTGTTCTCACGCCGCCAGCGGTGGGGCCGAGAGTCCACTTCCCCTGCTCCTGTTCTCCCTTGCCTCCCTCTCCGCCATGTTGGAGTTCCTGGCTGCCAGAGGTGGTTGGGAGGGAGCTTCATCGAGGACATCAGTGTCTGAAATCTTCATTCACTTTCCCAGTCAGAGCTGCTCTGGACTCTGCCCGCAGCAAGGCAGTGCCAGATGGGGCCCTCCGCCTCAGGGCAGGACTTTCTCTGCCTAAGTTACCTGACTTGATAGGGAACCCGGACTGGATCCATGCTGTAGCACATGTGTGCGCCTTTTAGCGGCTGAGTAATAGTCCCCTCATCTCTTTGGAGACCCAAGGGGCTAAGGCCCTAAGTGCTGAATAATCTCTAGAGTCCCTGGGGGGAGGACTTTAGGTTCCCCGGTACTCAGAGAGGAAGATGAGGAAGCGAGAGAGACATAAACGGATGCCACAAATGTTTGTGACCAGACTCTCAGCAATAGATGGAGAAGAAAAAAGTAATCAAAATCCAAAGGTTTCTAATGCCATAAAGGACTTGGGTCTTATCCTGAGGGCACTGGGGAGCCATAGCAGATTCTTGAGTGGGGAAGGGTGAGAAGAGATGACATTGGTGATGTACAGAGGGAAAGGAGGTAATGGCCAGGAGCACCCCGTGGAGCCAGTCCCTGTCCTGCACTGCACTGGTTCTCACCAGTTCTCCCGAGCCTGAGGTGCTGTGCCCGTCTCTACAGGTGTGGCTCCCTGCTCGGCAAGGAAACAGAATCCCTGGCTTCTTCACTGGGCTGTGTGTCCCCGAGGGGAACAGCTGGGATAATCCCAAACGCCTCAGGCCCGAGAGTTGAGGCGCTAGGTGTGATAATCCTGGGCTACATAGCAATTTAAGGAGGCCAGTGCTGGGCGGAGGCGCTGCGCTCCGCTCCGTCCTGCTAAGAGCAAAGTGGAAAGGAAAGCACACCGAGTCTTCTCTGGGTAAGCACGTGTGGGGCGCTGCCTGCTCGTAGCCCTGCCTTTCAGCCTCAGTTTCCTCCCTTTCTGGTAGAAGGTGGCAGAGTGTAAGGAGGAACGTGTCTTCACTTGAATGCCTGCTTCTTCTAGGAGTGCAGCCTGGTATTTAAGAAGTCAGTTGTCTGCCGGTCGGTCGTAGGCTCCCTTTGAGAGAAAGCAGCCCTTCCGCACCGTGAGGGCTGTGCACTCTGAGGTCTTGGCCTAAGGTCAGCTTGGATGCCTCCGGCACCAGCACAACCAGGGTGGCCGAAGCTCTGAGGCATGCACACTGTCCCTGTGCTACCGTGTCCAGTACACAGCCTGTCGAGCAGCTCCTGGATCCTGCAACTGTACAGGCACTCCCATTGCCGTGCCCCGCATTTCATCAGTGTGCAGACTGAAGCGGTGTCCTCCTGGCAGACTCAGTGCCAGGCCTTCAGAATCACTTGCTCAAATTTATTGGATACAGTGGGGCCGGGGAGATAGCTCAGGGGCCTGGCAAGCGCGAGGTTCTGAGTTCCATCCCTGGTATCTCCAAAAGAAAGAAAGAAAGAAAGTCGTTTACAAATTTATAGGATACGGTTTGAGACTTGGGTTCCCAGGTTAAAATATTAATATCTCAGTGAGATAGCTCAGTGGTCTAAAGCACCTGCTTGGGCACGCATAGGCAAGCCAAAGGACCAGGGTTCAATCCCCGGCACCACATGCTGCGCCAGCCCTGTGCCCAGGGCAGGCTGAGCTGGCCACTAAATAAATAAATAAATAAATAAATAAATAAATGTAAACATCTGCCTTCTGTGCTTCCCTTATAAGCTGGTAGAGGGGTTGATTGAGCTCACCATATCCAGCTATCCAAAGGTGACAAAAGCCTGTAATTCCTAGGAATCCCCTTAGCTGTTTTAGGGTCTTGGACTGCTGGAAGGAAAGTTCAGTTATTTCTTCCTTCAGTCTTTGGGTTTCCTGAGATATGGTAAGGCCCAAATATTTTACCCCATAGGTGAAAAATTGGGCCTTAGACTGCCCAGAAACCCTGTAACGTCTGTCTGCTAGAAAATTAAGTAGAAAGAAAGAAAGAAAGAGAGAGAGAAAGAGAGAGAGAAAGAAAGAAAGAAAGAAAGAGAGAAAGAAAGAGAAAGAAAGAGAAAGAAAGAAAGAAAGAAAGAAAGAAGAAAGAAAGAAAGAAAAAAAGAAAGAAAGAAAGAAAGAAAGAAAGAAAGAAAGAAAGAAAGAAAGAAAGAAAGAAAGAAAGAAAGAAAGAAAGAGCGCACGTTCAGCAGCGTGCGTGCTGGCTGAGCTCTCTGGGAGGCGCAGAGCAGTGGGTCGTCCGCACACTGCAGGACTCTGCCTTGGGAAGATCCAAAGCGGGCCAAGCAAGCCACGGGAGAGCACATGTCCAGAAGGAAGGACTGCTTCTGACCACTTGCGGAGGCACGATCCAAGTTGGTGAGAGGCCTGGCCAGGAGGGCTTTCGCTGGGAATCTGTGCGCAGTGGAATACAAAGGAAGGGATCTTTTAAGACCAGCACTGTAAACCAACTGGCATCTTCTTGTTTTTAACGCATTTGGTGTCACAGGGTCCCACTACGCAGCTCGGACTCATAGTGATCCTCCTGTTTTCAGCCTCCCCGGCACCGGGATTACAGGCATGCGCCACCTCACCCAGACTGTGTGGCCAGCTCGGCCCGCCCTGGGGGCGGGGCTGGCAATCTGTGGTCCCTGCGCTTGCCTAAGCAGGTGCGCAGTCTGCTGAGCTATTTCACCAGACCCCCATCGGGTTTTTGGACTCCCAAGATTGGAGTGTCCAGAGGGCTGTTACAAGATGTAAGCAAACCTTGGGCCCTGGAGTTGATGACTACAGGTAATAGTCCTTTTTTAACTTCAGGCATTAGAGGGCATTATCCAAGGTGAGGAAAAATAGTGGGGTCTTTGGGACATATTTGCATGGGGGGGGGCTCTTTCTGCTCTTTCGATTTTACCTTTTTTTTTTTTTTTTTTTTTTTGGCAGAGCCGGAGATTGAACTCAAGCCCTTGTGCTTGCCAGGCAAGTGCTTATTCTACTGAGCTATCTCCCCGGCGCCTAATTTTACCTTTAGTTGCCCATACTTACGATTTCTTTCCATCTCCTCGAGAGGAAGGCAACACACTAGACCTGCGTGCATGTGTAAAGCAAGACGATGTTTCTTCCCAAGAGGGGAACTGGACTTCTGAGAGTGACTAAACAGGAGTGGGAGAAAACAAAGCCGTCCTGGTTACAGCCTCAAGGTCTTAAGAAATGGTGAGTTACCTCCTCCAAGTGACCACTCTCCCTGAGGTGTGACGGCTGGAAGGAAGGAAGGCCAGGGTCGAAGAGGACAGAGAGACACAGGCCACCATCCAGCAGCAGGCTGGTTTCCTGCTGCTCTGCAGTCACGACAGCCCACGGTTCCTCAGTAGGGGTGACAGTCCAGCCAGAGGGAGGAAGCAGAGGGTACCCTGGGGCCCTTCGGTACTGCTCCTAAGATGGGTCTGATCCCTGGCACCTCCATCTCAGGGGACGGTCCATCTTCTTTTGGTCACTACTGCGTGCAGGGTGTGCCTCAGGGCCCCCTTCTGTGACTATTCTGATCCCAGTCCCTCTTCAGGTGGCTGGCTTCCCAGAGCTGTAGCGGAGGGTTTAGTCATTGAGCTCTCCTGGAGGCCTCGGAATCAGATGCCGCTCACGCCTCCTCGCGCTGCCCTCGAGGCAGCGACCTCTTCCTGCTCTCTGTGTTTCCCACCCTCTGGCCTCCTCCTGGTCTCAAACACAAAATCCTGAGGAAGCGATTCTTACTAAAGTATCCAGTGAGGTGTCTGGAGCAAAAGCCCCCTCTCATGGCTTTTCCTAATATCTGAGTCAGCTAGGTAATACGTTTGTCTTCTGTTTTGTTTTATTTTGTTTGAGACAGAGTCTCACTGTGTGTTCCCGGCTGGTCTTGAACTCACTATCTAGCCCATGTTGATCTCAAACTCATGGTAGTCCTCCTGCCTCAGAAATTTGTCTTTTTTTTCTTTTCCTTTTGGTGGTACCAGGGATTGCACTCAGGACCTTGTGCTTGCCAGGCAAGAACTTATTGCACTGAGCTATCTCCCTGGCCCAAATTTGTCTTTAACAATGTTATGGTTTGGGGCTGGAGAGATGGCTCAGTGGTCTAAAGCACCTACTCAGAACAAGCTTAGCAAAGCACAGGGACC